GAAGGTTCCCCAACAACTCCCATCTCAGCAACCCGGGAAGCAGCCTTGATCAAGCGAACTCTGCAGTCTCCGGGGACTCCCGGGACTGGATCTTCCAAAGTCATCGTCATCTATTTCCCCACCCTGTCTCATTGGCTGTGGCATGTGAACCCGCCTCTGGACTCAGCCAAACTTTAATCCTTTAGTTAAACCGAGTCAGACGGCTGGACAGCTGGGCAGGATGACGTCACGGCCTCTGCACTAGTGTGACCCTCGGGCCTTTGGGTCCTGGTACAGGTCAGACAGGGCAATGGGCTTTTCCGTACCCCTTGGGTGAGAGACATAGCAAGTCCACTCCAGGGCCCTAGGAGTTTACAGGTAAATTGAGACTCCCCACCACCACCCCCGCACACACACACACACACAGAGCCATCTGATAAGGGTGCACGGAGTTCTACGTGTGGCGGGCTGTGATATGGACACGGTGGCTCCAGGTTTAGACAGGGGGACAAAGGACTAGAACCTCATCATGGTCTGGAGATGGGATGCAGCTGGGGGAGCACAAGAATGACCACTTCTGGTGACTTGGGCACACCGAGGAAGCTACAGAGAACTGGGCCTAGGGGACAAGTCCTCACCCATCCTACGGTCTGTTTGCAGACTTCAAGCTTCCAGACCCATGGGAGGAAAAAAACAAATGCGCCATTAGGCCGTTCAGTCTTGCAGCGACGTGCCGCGGGAGGCCGTTGTGCGCGCAGACAAAGGCCGCATCCCCAGATGGTTAGCATTACGCAGAGGCTAAGGCTGCAACCTCATCAACGAGCTAAGCCATTGGTGAATTCATAGGTAGTAGGAGATAAGGCATGGTGGGGGCAAGTCGGTCACCGTCAGTCACCTTGGGAGGTGTATCTTGTCCACATCTCCTCCTCCTCTTCCTCCCCCATCTTCTTCCCGCCTGTCCCATCATACTGCCTCATTACGAGTCCCAGGAACACGCCAGCCGAGAGATGGCTAAGTAAAACGCTGTGAAACCATGAGCCCAAACCATGTCTTTCCATCCTTAGATTTTCCTAGGTATTTGTCACAGAATATAAAATATAAATGCATAGTCCAAGCTAATAAGACAGATAGTAGAGCGGGAGGGGGCTTAAGGAGGGCAACAGGAAGTGCTTAAAATCGAGGTCTGGAGCCATCCGGGAGAGGCTTGGAGACAGGAATTCATCGTCTTGAACCTGGACCTGGACGTGGAAGCCTGTCTTCTGGACTAGACAGATGGAAATGTGTCGCCGCCTGTGGGCTGCACACAGGGCATGAAATGAGGGGCAGGAAGACGCACAGACCCATGTCTCCCCTGAACCACGGGAAATCCCACGGCTAGCAAACGAGGCAAGCACGCGAGCAAGGTGTTTCGTTTATGTGATTTCCTGACAGCCTCCGGGTCTGTCTTTGCCTCAAGAAGGGAGTGGCAGGGTGGGGTGTAGGAAGTGGCAGGGTGGGGTATAGGAAGTGGCAGGGTGGTTATAGGAAGTGTCAGGGTGGGGTGTAGGAAGTGGCAGGTGGGGTGTAGGAAGTGTCAGGGTAGGGTGTGGAGAGTGGCAGGGTGGTGTGTAGGAAGAGGCAGGGTGGGGTATAGGAAATAGAAGATCTGGAGTATAGGAAAAGGCAGGACTGGGATGTAGGAAGTGGCAGGGTGGGGTGTAGGAAGTGGCAGGTGGGGTATAGGAAGTGGCAGGGTGGGGTGTAGGAAGTGTCAGGGTAGGGTGGAGGAAGTGTCAGGGTGGGGTGTAGGAAGTGGCAGGTGGTGTGTAGGAAGAGGCAGGTGGGGTGTAGGAAGTGGCAGGGTGGGGTATAGGAAGTGGCAGGGTGGGGTGTAGGAAGTGGCAGGTGAGGTGTAGGAAGTGTCAGGGTGGGGTGTAGGAAGTGGCAGGTGGGGTGTAGGAAGTGGCAGGGTGGGGTGTAGGAAGTGGCAGGTGGGGTATAGGAAGCAGCAAGTGGGGTGTAGGAAGTCGCAGGGTGAGGTGTAGGAAGTGGCAGGGTGGGGTGTAGGAAGTCACAGGGTGAGGTGTAGGAAGTGGCAGGGTGGGGTGTAGGAAGTGTCAGGGTGGGGTGTAGGAAGTGGCAGGTGGGGTGTAGGAAGTGGCAGGGTGGGGTATAGGAAGTGGCAGGGTGAAGTATAGGAAGTGGCAGGGTGGAGTATAGGAAGTGGCAGGGTGGGGTGTAGGAAGTGGCAGGGTGGGGTGTAGGAAGTGTCAGGGTGGGGTGTAGGAAGTGGCAGGGTGTGGTGTAGGAAGTGGCAGGTGAGGTGTAGGAAGTGTCAGGGTGGGGTGTAGGAAGTGGCAGGGTGGGGTGTAGGAAGTGGCAGGGTGGGGTATAGGAAGTGGCAGGGTGGAGTATAGGAAGTGGCAGGGTGGAGTATAGGAAGTGGCAGGGTGGAGTATAGGAAGTGTCAGGGTGGGGTGTAGGAAGTGTCAGGGTGGGGTGTAGGAAGAGGCAGGGTGGGGTGTAGGAAGTGGCAGGGTGGGGTGTAGGAAGTGGCAGGGTGGAGTATAGGAAGTAGCAGGATGGAGTATAGGAAGTGTCAGGGTGGGGTGTAGGAAGTGTCAGCGTGGGGTGTAGGAAGTGGCAGGTGAGGTGTAGGAAGTGTCAGGGTGAGGTGTAGGAAGTGTCAGGGTGGGGTGTAGGAAGTGGCAGGGTGAGGTGTAGGAAGTGGCAGGTGGTGTGTAGGAAGTGGCAGGTGGGGTGTAGGAAGTGGCAGGTGGGTTGTAGGAAGTGTCAGGGTGTGGTGTAGGAAGTGGCAGGTGAGGTGTAGGAAGTGGCAGGGTGGGGTGTAGGAAGTGGCAGGTGAGGTTGTAGGAAGTGGCAGGGTGGGGTGTAGGAAGTGGCAGGTGAGGTGTAGGAAGTGGCTGGGCTAGGGTGTAGCTCAGTAGCTGAAATGCTGCCTTGCATTCATGAAGCCCTGGGCTTGGTCCTCAGGACTGAATAAACTAGGTATAGCAGCAGACTCCCGTAATCCCAGCACGTAGGAGGTTGAGGCAGACGCATCAGATGTTCAAGGTCATCCCTGACTGTGTGCCAAACCCAAAGCCAGCATGGATCTGAGGAGACCCTATCTCAAAAATAAAGGATGGATGAGACGGCTCAGTGGGCCAGAGTGATGGCCATCGGGTTTGACAATCTGAGTTCTATCCCCAAAAACACACAGTAGAAGGAGAGAACCAACTCCACAAATTATCCTATGCTACCTGCCATTGCGCACACCTTGGTACATGGCCACATGTGCACACAGACAGACAGACAGACAGACATGACAGATTTTTTTTGAAAAAGAAAGGTGGAGGTAACTGAGGAGTTCCAAGCCCCCTGTCATGAAGTTACTTCTGTTCTGAGGGTTCACTTAGTTCATTTTTTGCATGTCCTGATCCGAGGGAAAAAGCCGGTGTTCCGTGCATATCTGTAAAACTTCTAGGCACCCTCTGTCCCCATCATGTGCCTCTTGGAGGGGAAAGTCTTCTGTAAATTAGGATTTTGAGGGGCTTTGCCTCACCTCAACCATACTAACAAAGCTTGGGCAAGTCAGACCACAAACCCCTGAGCGCTGGCCTACAATTTCACCCTGGTGTTTCTGGTGTTCTCACTGGTTCTTGCTCACACCATGACGATTCCACAGCCTGAGGTAGATCTCCAAAGACTGGCGCAGTTAAGGATTTAATCCTTGTGGGGAGAAGGGGAAATATCCAGAGAGACCCTAACTCTCCTGAGAAGCTGCCCTTGGCAATGGCTGGAATCTAAGACAGAACAATGAGCCCTTCAAAGCCCAGGAACCTTGGTTCCTCCTTGTGGCATCAGGCACTACTCACCCAGGGACTAATTGCAGGACTTGTAGATGCAGTCATCATTTCCAACAACCTTCAAATAAAGAAACCGGGACTTGTGTCTCGCCTAACCTTACCAGCTGGCCTCTGCGGCACCTATTATTACTGTCCTCTTCTTGGTCCTGGAAAGCTGCTTGGAGGCAGATGTGAGTCGGGGTATGTTCTACAGGAGAGTACCCCAGAAAGTCTGATGGAGGGGTGGGTGACAAGAAAGGGAGATGAGGGGGGATTTCAGGGCGTGTTAATGATCACCTGAGACCCGCTGTGAAGAGGGGAGAAGGCGGACAGCGTCTCCCAGAGCTCTCAAACGGGAAGGGCAAGGCAGCCAGCTGTCCACCCGCATTGTCTGTGGATGAAGGCTGCTCCCTCTTAGACGTTTCTAGCTGCCCTGGCGGCACATGCTCACACCTTACGGGCCAAAGACAGACCACAAAGGGAGTAACTTTGCCAGGACAGGTGGGCGGGCCACCTACTCCGTGTCAACCACCTGGGTGAAGCTCTAGAGTGTCTCCACCCAGTGGGTACCAACCCATCCGGGCAGGTGACAGCACTATCGCCAGCCAGTCCATTCAAGTGGCACCATCCATGAGCTTCGTGGTAAGACAGGTGTTCTACTAGAATCTGGCCTCGAAGACTTCTCCCCATCCTGTGTTGTCAGCAGCCCAGGCTAAGTCAGGCTGTCTAGTGCATCCGTGCAGCCGTTCGGGGGAGCTGGATACTTGGATACACTTTGGCTGTTCAGCGGAGGCTGGGGCCAATGGGGAAGATTTAACTTCCCCCGAAGTACAGATGCAAAGAACAAAGGTGTATTCTTCTTTTCTTCCTGTCACAAGAAAGCGGTGACGTAAGATTATTATTTCATGTTCTTAAGAGGGCACCTTTCTAGAGTGCAGGCAGGGACACCAATTGGACTGGGAGCAACGGAGATGGCCTTCGCTCTCATCCTAGGTACCAGTGTGGCTTGGCTTCCGAAGGACCTCAACGCTCCTCGGCTCAGATCTCACATGGGCTTTGTTTCCCCCTAGCCTCGGGAGCTCAGACAGCAGGTTCTCGTGCCCTCCTCCAAACTGCAGTGTACTAAGAAAAACAAGGTGAGAGGACCCTCAGGGCCCGTGTCTGTCACTGCAGAGTTGCCGGAGCCCTCACCTTTTAGCAAGGCGGCGAAACGTCCCTTTTGCAAAAGAACAGCATGAGCGTTTTGTAGGCGTGTAGGATCCTGTTCTGCATCAGCTTGAAGGCGATGAACACGATCTCCATGCCAACGATGATGTAAATGGAGAAGAAGAGGAAGAAGTGGGGGCGGCTGAGCTTGATGTCCCCGAACCCGATGGTGGTCAGCGTGACGAAGCAGAAGTAGAAGGCGTCCTCGAAGCCCAGCTCCGTCTCCCAGAAGGGGAGGATAGCAGCTGCACAGGAGATGTAGGCAAAGATGACCAGGGCGATGACAGGGAGGGGCACGTCCAGCCTCTCCACCTGCTGGCCCACCTCATCCAGATTGCTCAGGATTGAACAGGACAGTCGCCCCAGCGTCAGCTGGGGACATGAGTTCAGCTCGGGACATGAGCTGCTCTTCGTCTCCATAGGCCGCATGGGCTGCATGGGCGGTTGTAGCCTGTCCTGCTTCTCTCGTGCAACTAGTCTCTCAAACAGCTCCACGCTACAGCTTTGGGGTGCCGGTTCCCTGCACGGCTGGGGGTCCAGGAGCTCATCCGCATCCGCGCTGGCACTGATGACAATCTGAGGAATGGCTTCGCAGCCCCCAGGGTTGCTGTCGGGCGGCCTCCTGCAGAGCAGCAGGCTGGAGCACCACGGTGGTGCGGAGGGAGCCCGGGGAAGGCAAAGGAGAGCCTGGAGCCGATTGTAGGCCCTGGATAAGATGGTGGCTAGGGTGTCCCCTATGTCTGTGAGCACCAGGAACATCAAAGGGATTCCGAAGAGAGCATACAGCATGCACAGGAGCTTGCCAAGCCTGGTGACGGGGTACATGTGGCCATAACCTAAGAAACAAGACAGAGTCTGATGTTGGCATGGGTCCAGCATCCCTCAGAGGCTCAGAGGAGACCCGCTGCTTCTTCTGGACATGAAACTTTGCACAGTAAAAAAAAATATTCATCCTAGACTAGGTGCAGAACTCAGGGGGGAAAGCGGGCATAAGGCTGCAAGTTCAACCCCCATCCCCACCCCCACCCCGGTGCTGAAAAAGAAACATGTATGTGAATGAATATCCCCCAATAAATCTTCATCCGCCGTATGTGTGTCTGGTGTGTATCTTGACCGAGGGACGGGGAAAGAAGAGAGGCAGCTCACATCCGGACTGAAAATGTCCTTGGCAGGGGACATGCTGGGGATGAGGCAATGACTCTTCATCTTGCTGTGGTTGTTTGGTTGGGCCCCACCCCACACTCACCTGGAAGAGCACAGGCGTGAGGCGGCCATTTCCATTGCTTCCTTCGTCTCGCCAAAGGTGCTGGCTTCTAAGAAGCCGCCTTTGTCCTTTCTGAGGTTCCCGGACCCTCTCCGTGTATTTGCTTTTGTATAGCGGAACATTTATTTTTATGCCAGTGGGTGTGGGCGGCAGTGTGTGTTGTATTAGGAGCCACAGGAAGAAGACAAAGCTACAGCTGTGTCCTCAGAGCTTTGAAGTTTCAGGTGAGACAGACGTGTTCACGGGTGTCCGAGAGGCTGCCAGCACGCAGCACTCATGGACACTCGCCTCCATTCACAGCCCAGCTATGAGTTTAGCAGACCTTTATTAAACCGCCCACATTGTATTTCGGGGTTAAAGGGGGCTGGTGGTTCTACTCTTTTTTTTTTTTTTTGGTTTTACGAGACAGGGTTTCTCTGCAGTGTTTTGGAGGCTGTCGGTCCAGCCTGGCCTCGAACTCACAGAGATCCGCCTGCCTCTGCCTCCCGAGTGCTGGGATTAAAGGCGTGCGCCAGCCACCACCGCCCGGCTCTACTCTTAAGTAACTATTGTGGAGATCCTGCCAGGCTGCAACCTGTGACTCCAAAGGCTAGTAAATGTGATGCCTCGAGAGCTAGCTAGCATCCACCTGCATGGGTGGTAAGTGGCCAGGCTTCCTGGAGAGGTGTTCTCATGATTTACAAATGTGGAAACTGAGGCAGGGGGCAATTGGAGTAGCTTGGCTCAGCACATGCGTGGAGCGAGTTTTGGAAATTGGGAGTCCAGTTCACAGGGTTCTGCAAGTCTCATCACTCCTTGTAATGTTGAGACAGGAGTCTCACCTAGTGAGGACTGCCTGGCCAGTGCCCACCATGGGCTGTTTTCCTGACACCCTCCTTCCTGCAGAAGGCGGGAGCTGAGCCAGCGGTGGCTCCCAGGCAGAGGCGATGGGAGCTTTTAGAACTGTTGACGAGCAGAGGAAGAAAAGCTTTGCTGTGTGTGTTGTTAGTGTGTTTAATCTTTGATTAATATGGAGAAGCGCATCAATTATGGAAATTAAAAGCTGAAGGTGCTTATTAGCGAGCTGAGCAGCAGTCTCCTCTCTGCTTATGACTCCCTGTTGAAAACTTGGCCTCCAGAGGCAGACAGACTGTGGGTATGGCCACCTCACCGGGATCCTAGGGAGGAAGGGTAGGGGGCTGTGATCCTCCAGAGTTCTCGACAGACCCCTTTCGTCTGCCTCAGAGCCTGCACACCCTGCAGGCTGGGGGGGCGCAGGGGACTGGCCACGTTGGTGGTTATCAGGGTCAGTTAACTTCATATGTTCATTCATTCACTGGGTAGTTATTGAGTTCTTAGTGAACTCACTAAAGACACACACACAGCACGTTCACAGAGTCCAACCTCTCTGAGTTTCTGGTTCAGGGGAAGCAGACCTTATGGCTATTGTTATTTGAGAAGAGGGCCCATCACAGGAAGAGACCAAAATTATTATAAATGTGGTTGGAACAAAGGCCTCCATTCAGGATTGGGGCTCAGGGAAGATTTCTTGTTTAGGTGACTCGAACGAAGATTTAGACAGGGGTTGTTTGTTGCTGTGATTAAAACACCGACCAAAACCTACTTGGGGAGGAAAGGGTTTGCCTGGCTTACATTTTTGAGGGAAGCCAGAGCAGGAACTCAAGACTCTGAGTCTTGAGGCAGAAACTGAAGCAGAGATCATAGGGAGAACCCTGCTTAGTGGCTTGTTTTGCTCCCCCCCCTCAATTGAACTACGTTTCTTACACAGGCCAGGCCCACATCCTCAAGGATGACACTGCCCACAGTGGGCCTCCTCCCTCAGCTAACAATCAAGAAAACACCCCCGTAGGCATTAGTCCAATCTGACGGAGGTACTTCCTCAATCTAGGCAGCCTTTTCCAGGTTGTGTCAGGTTGACAGCCGAGATTAGCTCACTCAGGGAGCAGGAACTGGTCAGGTTTAAAAAAAAAAAGCAGTAGCATCGGTATGTGCAAACGCTTTTGTGCCTGTTCCATCCGGCTGAGGAGTTTGCGCCCTGCACATGTATTAGGGGCATGATAGGGGGCTGAAATCATCCAGCCTGCCACGCACTCGCCAAGCTCAGGTCTCTATGTCTCCCTAGAGAGGATTCCCAGTCTTACCCAAAGTGTCTCCAAGAGTAGAGTTGTCACTATATATGGGGAATCAAAAAGAAGGCTAGTGTGGTGGTAGAATAAGAATACCCCCAACCCCCACACCCCGTAGGCTTATATATTTGAATGCTTAGTAGCCAGGGAGTGGAACTCTTTGATGGTAATGGAAGGATCAGGGGGTGTGGACTTGTTGGAGGACGTGTGTCACCAGGGAGGTGGGTTCTAAGGTTTCCAAAAGTCCGTGCCAAGCCCAGACTCTTCTTGCTGCCTGAGGATCAGGACGTAGAACTATCAACTGCCTCTCCAGCGCTGTGTCTGCCTGCCGTCACGCTCTCTGCCGTGACGATAATGGACTACGCCTCTGAACTGTGCAAGCAAACCCCCAATTAAATGTTGTCTTTTTTTTTTTTTAAATAAGGGTGGCCTGGGTCATGGTGTCTCTGCAGCGATAGAGCAGTAACTAAGACAGCCAGTGTGGCTAGTGAGCACGGATCAGGAGGAGGGTGCTTAGGTGAGGCTGGGGGAAAATGAAGGTCTAAGGACTTAAAGGAATAAGGAGCACCTTGGGGGTGTGAGAAAGGTGCGGTAAAAGCTCAGAAGCTGATACTGAGCTTGGAGCATGAGTAAGGAGTCCTGTGCCCAAGCTTTATGTCGTCCCCACAGAGCTATAGCCTTAGGGATGTCAGAGGCCATAAGCAAGTGCTCTACGTATGAAACACCTCGGTTTTCCAGCCAGGGCACAAGCCCCACATTCTCACGAGCATCTGGAAGCTCACAACGGGCTTCTCAGAAGTAACTGCCTCCCCAGCCCCGGGCTTCCAGGGTCAGGGCCTAGAGTTACATTTGTTTCGATTTAAAAGAACCAAATCGAATATTGCTCGCAAAGTCTGCAAAGTGCTTTTTAGAATCAAAATCCCCTGCACAGCAGAACTCATGGCAGTCTCCATTACTGCTCGCATTTAATGGGCACTAAGCAGATAAGGCTGTGATCTGTTGAGGGTGACATAGCCGCACTCCCCAGGAGCCTGCACTTTCCACTTGAAGACCTTGCCCCGTGAATATGTACAGCCCCAAGGTGGGCTTCAGAAGACCCTGTGAGTGAGGAGTGTTTGAGGCACAGAAGATCTGCTACACTCCAGAAAAGAACCCCAGGGAAGTAGGTCTCAGGGGGCGCATAGCCCCACAGAGAGAATGGACTAACCGCCCCAGTTACCGAATGCTGAAATGCAGAATGGAAAAGTATCACTTCCTATAATGCATTCCTTGTTCCGATACAATCACTCCACAGCACTTAGCCTGCCAAGTATTTAATAGCCCAAGCCTTCCCCTTCCTGATCCCAGGAGCTGAGCCAGGTGACAACTGGCCAGACTCACTCACAGGTGTCACTTCCTCGGTAGCAGGGTCCCAGGTCTTTTCAGGAGAGCCGGAGAGGCCGGACTGATGCAGCATTGCAGAGGGACTGTCACACCCAGCAGTGATCATAGGCAGTCCCGGCACACCCTACAATCCTCCACTAGGGCACTTTTGGGAAGACTTCCCTACCGGACCCATACAAAGGGGAGTGGTTTGGGTTTTCCTGAGATTTAAGCCACGCTAATGCATTCCAACCGCATCAGTGATTTGAGGCGTTGACTCCCATTAGAGTCACCTGGAGGGCTCGCAGGGAAACCTGGGCCTGGATTCTGATAGGTCTGCGGCAGGGCTCACGGGGGCTTGTGTAAGATAGGGAGGAGATTATGAAGTGCAATTGAGAGCTTGTGTGGATAACGTCTCCAGTGTCAGCGTGTACCAGAGGGTGGGGGCAGGGACTGGCTTGGTTAGAGCACCTGTCTAGCATATACAAAGGTTATAGGATCAATCCACATACCACGTGGGCACAGTGGAACACACCTGTAGTCACAGCACGTAGGCAAGAAGATTGGAGGGTCAAGGTTTTTCCAAATGTAATTCTAGAAGGACTGGTTAAGACCAGTGGTTCTCTGAGGCAGAGCCTAGGCGGCTGGTGGGGGATAAACCAAAGCGGCTAGCAAAGAAAAAGCTTCTCGTAACAAAATGGTGATCAGGAGTGGGATCATGAATTTCCACGCAAAATAACAAAAACTTTAAAGGAATTTTAGAAACAGAAGAACAGAGAGAAGCACAGATTTTGGTAGCAGCATTTTTCTCAGGTGTGCTCTGTTTTGCTAGCGACAAGCCGAGATTCATGCGGCTCGCTTACGGGAGTCTTCCTGACTCGGCATAAAAAGAAAAAAAACAGCAAGGTTGTTTTAAGAGACTCTGCTAACAATTGAAAAGTTGTACATACAGCTGGAAGTGGCAGCTTTTGCTGGAGGTCAGCATGGACTGAGGCGGTAAGCTGGAGTCACGCTTACGCCCGCCATCTTGATGGGAAAAAAACCGGCAGTTTAAAACAGCCGCGGTTTTACGGATAAGACACGTGGCCAGAAAAACATAAAGATTTACAGTAAAGTCAGACTTGGATGAAGAAAAACCTCAAAAGGTTTACAGTGTGTTAAAAAAAATACGTAAGATCGAGAGAGAAAAAACCGACAAAGTGGTAAATAAGTAGAGAAGCCGGCTGTGGTGGCGCACGCCGGTAGAAATTGCTCCAGAGGCAGAGGCAGGCAGATTTCCAAAGAGAAACCCTGTCTCAGAGAAAAATAAAGTAAAGAAATAAAATAATAATAATAAATAAGCCACGTAAAGATGGAAAATACACAGAGAGTCTGGATACTGTACGCTATTGTGTTTTTCAGTTTTTTGATTGCTAAGGAAGGAACAGCTGCTAAAGTACACTTGATTATAAATGCTGCTGAATTAATCCAACTTCTATCTTTTGAAAATGCCTTGACCTCAAAATTTAAGTATAAGGATATGTTACTCGGAAAAGGAGTTTTAATTTATGTTTCCACAGAACATAAAAAGCTGAGGATTTCTTCCAGACTTCTGTGGTTTGACGAACCAAGACCCCCGGAAGCAGTGGACCAGGTGTTCCAACTATTGAGACAGCTAAGATGATGCAGCTTTACAGACCCCGAAAATACGGACTTATACAGGTTTCTGAGTTTTGTCATGATCCCCATGGTATGAACAGCGCCCCCTTCCAGCAGGAAGCAGTTTGGAATGAGCGACCTCCCAATTCCCATCTTGGTTATAAATCTTTGTTTTCATTTAAATGGGATTGTTTATAATTGGCTAATGATCACAGCCGATCTTTTTTTAATGGTAAAAAGGGGAGTTATGGTATGGGTATTGTTTTTCATTTATTGATACAAATTCAAGGTCAATTTTGTGATATGTATATTTCTCCTCTTGATTAAGTATTGTGCTTATACTGATCTTTTAAAATGTAATGCATAATTAAATACAGATTATAGAAGTTACTTATAATAGTCAGAACTTATAGTTAGGTAAGTTAGGTTTTCTAGATAGATAGAAATGTATTTCAGACAGATAAACAGTCTTCAAACCTCTCAAAGACCTTCAGAAAATGGCATTTAAAATGGTTTAGGGTTTTTCTTGACAATGAGAAATGTCTGCTCCTGGCAGCACCAATTATGTCTGAGAGGAAGATGGGCATCGAAGAAACTTGTTATGGAGTTTGCTTTCAACATGGCAAGATTAGCCATTTGGGCAAGAAACTGCTCTTGCCTGTACTGCTTGACTGTTGCTGTATAAACTGGACATGCAGGACCCACAGGAAAGTGAATGCTGAACTCAGTCTTACAGGGTTCCTGCTTCATGAAAGAGTCTAAGAGACTTTCTACAGGACAAAGAAAAATGACTGACAGACTGCCAGCGCAGATGGACAGTTTGAAATTTCCTGCTTTGCTGAGAAATCTTCTGGACACATTATGGCCTATGGGCTGAAGATGGATGCCCCAACGTTACAGAGGAACTTCGGGTGACTGTCCAGGCAGTAAGATGTCTCTATCAATCCTAGTGTTTATATATTATCCTTCTGTGGTCTCCATCATGGAGTTGAAGACAGATAGCTATAATTATAGTTTTCCTTAGTTATGATAAGAGATAAGCTACATATAGGACTTTGGACTCACAAGAATGAGATAGATGATATTTTCTTTAAATCTTGCTGAATGTTGATAGACAAAATGTTGTAACTGTGTTCTTACTTGATAACTGTTCTGTTATATACAATTTGACTATGTTAAAGTTAAGACTTTCCTTTTTGTTTAAACAGAAAAGAGGAGATGTTGGGGGAAGTCCTGTGCATTTGTCAATAAAGACTGTCTGGCCAATAGGAATCTAGATAGGTGGGGCTAGGAGTCCAGGAGGATTCTGGGAAGGAGAAACACAAGAGGTTCGAGATGTAACCACCATTGGGGTAGGAAGCCCGGAAACCTCTCCGGTAAGAGACATACTTAGATTAACAATTATGGGGTAAATACTTAAGTCAGAGCTAGCCAGTAAGAAACAAGCAAGACCGACAGCTTCATAATTAATACAGCCTCCTGTGTGTTTATTTGGGGACTGCAATGAGAGAGAGCCTAGGCGGCTGGCAGGGGATAAACCAAAGCGGCTAGCAAAGAAAAAGCTTCTCGTAACAGTTCTCAACTCATGGGTGTCGACCTCTCTGGTGGTTGACTAACCCTTTCACATGGGGTTGCCTAAGACCCTCAGAAAACACATACATGTGTATTATGATTCCTAGCAGTAGCAAAATTATAGGCTGTGAAGTAGCAACAAAAATAATTTTATGGTTGGAGGTCACCACAGCTTGAGGAGCCTGTATTAAAGGGTCACAGCATTAGTAAGGTTGGGAGCCACTAGGGTAAGAGATTGCAGAGGCCATACTCGATGGAGCTGAACGTTAATTTGCATTCCTCGAAAACTTGTACAGCTGTGTGGACTCCACGGGCCCAACACACCTTCATCTGCTGTGGGAAGTCAACGGCTCTCAGCAGATTGCACCTCTAAATGTTTGGAGACAGTCTTGGTAACCCACGTGGGTGGGTGGGGGCAGTGTGAGCCGTGCTCCCGTGTCTAGTAGGTGGAGGACATAAATGCTACAATAGCTCCCTACAGTGAACAGGTCGGGTTCCTACAACAGAGAATTAGCCAGTTACAGTAGCCGTAGGGCTGCTGTGAGACCCTGTGATTTAGATCTGTGTTGGGGAAGTCCTGTGTATATGTTAATAAAGTGCTGTTGGCCAATAGGGAAGCAAGATAGGTGGGACTAGGAGTCGAGGAGGACCCTGGGTAGGAGAAACACAGGGAGTCTAGATGTAACCGCCATAGGGATAAGAAGCCTGGAAACTTCTCTGGTAAGAGAAATACTTAGATTAACAATTATGGGATAAATACTTAAGTCAGAGCTAGCCAGTAAGAAACAAGCAAGGCCAACAGCTTCATAATTAATATAGCCTCCTGTGTGTTTATTTGGGGACTACAACGTGGCAAAGCCTAGGTGACTGGTGGAGGAAAACCAAGCAGCAGACAAGGAAAAGGCTTCTCTCTACAGATCTAGTTAAGTTCTTGGTGGGGGGGGGCAGTGAAAAGACAACCTAAGCTTGTTCTCTCCGCCCCAGCTTCTCCCCGGCATCTTACCAGGTTGCTTCTCCCCTGAACCCACACTTCTTTCACGCTGGTCCCTGAACTTAGCCTGGGACTTGTTAATCTCAACTGTCAATGTGACAAGGTCGCCATGGAAGCGAACTTCTGGGTGAGTTTTTAGACTGGGTTAACTGAAGAGGCTGAAGTCCGGCCCTAAATGTGGGTGGTGCCCTTCTACCAGCTGCGGGTCCCTTGCTGAACAGAGCGGAGGGAGCAAGCTGAGTGCCAGCATCCATTGCTCTCTGCTTCCTGGCTGGATGCGATGTCACCTGCTGCCTCATGCTCCTGCTACCCACAACGTCCCCACCAAGAGGGGCTGCACCCTCTCTACCTGCGAGCCAAAACCAACTCTTCCTTCCTTAAGTTGCTTTCGTCTGGTATTTTGTCACAGACACTGACGGTAACTGATACAGGGGTTGATCACCACCCTGCTGGTCCTGGCCATCCCCAAATCTGCGTCCCTCACCCGTGGGCGGGAACGGTCACAGCACCTCACTCATGGGGCCCTTGTGAGAATTAGTGGAGGTTGTGAATCACTCGGTCCTGGAGCGCCTGGCTGCTTTCCTATGGGGTTCCTACCGCCTACGCGTTACCCACGCCGCCTATCTCTGGTCAAACAACTAAGACTGGTTCTGGAAAGACCCAAGGCTGCAAAAGCTCACTTGTGAGGCGTGTGTAGAGTATGCGGGGACAGATGACCGTGTCCCAGTGAGCAGCCTCTCTCCCTGGTTTGTAGGAGAAACTGCAGCCTGCCTACTCAAGCCTCAATCACCCTGCCCCCTGGTGCCCAGGGCAACCTGCATGAGCACGCGCATGCGCATGCGCGGCAGGCATCTCCTCCCTGAGCCAAGCCACCAAGCCTGACTCAATGCCCAGAGATGCTGACAGAGAGACACCTGACCCAGAGACACCAATGAGGAAAGCAGAACGCAGCGGAGTCAGCTGCCTGAGCCAATAGCACCTTGGGAGGGGGTATAAAGCCAGGTCTAACTTAGTTAATAAACGAGTCTGCGGAATGCTCTGCTACTCACTGACTCCCCGTGCCCGAGTCATTGGTGCTGCGTCTTCTCACCACTCCCCCAAGGGGTGTCCGAGCAGGGTGACCCTCACACACTGGTTCTTAAACTGTCCTCCCCACTTAGGAGCAGATCACTGGATCTTGGTCACCCAGTGAGAGTCCATCCCTGGCTAGGCCCATTTGATAGAGGGAGGGGGATAAGTAGGAAGCTTCTAGAACAGGATCGTTGCTGTCTATAGAGAACCCAGGAAGAAAGGAGGGGCAGCCGGTGATTTCAAATTACACGTTGGGGCTGGAGAGATGGCTCTGTCGTTAAAGGCTAGGCTCACAACCAAAAATGTAAGAGTTCGGATTACACGTGGTGATGTCTAGAAGTTATGTGGACCCTGTAGGCCTCTTGTGACCCACTGAGCAAAAGGGTGACAGACACCTGATATTGAGTGCCCTGGGAACTGCGCATCTTGCCCTGACCGGTACTGCTACCAACCTCTTCCTGGTGTGTATGGGGCGGGGAGACTGCACAGTCTTCTTGCAGCGGGCTGGCTGCGGATTGTGAGCCAGGTGGTCAGGCAGCTGCTGAAAGTGGTGCCACTGCCTAGAGGTAGGGCCAGCAGGGGTGGGGGGAGCTATGGATCCAGGTGCCAGACTCAAGGGGTCACATCCCTTTAGATGTCATCCAGCTCTAAATTCCACAGCTGGCTATGAGGGTCCTGCCACCCTGGGGTGTGAGGGGCAGGACAGCATCTCTGTGGCTGCTGTGATCCCATCCCTCCTAGGACGGGAGCCTACTCTTTTGAAGGACAAGGGCCTGGGGAGACCTCTGGATGGCCATGGTTGATGGGGGAAGTCCTGTGTATATGTCAATAAAGCACTGTTGGCCAATAGGGAAGCAAGATAGGTGGGACTAGGAGTCGAGGAGGACTCTGGGTAGGAGAAACACAGGGAGTCATCATGTAGCTACCATAGGGATAAGAAGCCCGGGAACTTTGCTCTGGTAAGAGAAATACTTAGATTAACAGTTATGGGGTAAATGCTTAAGTCAGAGCTAGCCAGTAAGAAACAAGCAAGGCCAACAGCTTCATAATTAATATAGTCTCCTGTGTGTTTATTTGGGACTGATGCGGCTCTGGAACCAGGCTGGCAGGAAGGCTTTCTCTTTACACCCAAGAGCTCCTGGTTTGGCCCGCCTGACAGTCCTACTGGTGCACTTCCAGATGGAAGCCAGGCTAACTGAACCTGCCCTCATTTTCTAAAGTCCTCAGACATGGCCCAGGACAGAGAGTCCAAGTCTCCCCGTACTCCCTGGAGGCTAGAAGGGCTCCCAAGGCTCTTCTCCTGGAGTCTTGAAAGTCCCAAACGGGACACTAAGGTTGGCGTTTTACAGGGATCGTTTCTCCTACCTGGAAGCCTCCTCCCTTTGATCTGTCAGACTCCATCATGTCCACAAGGAAGCCCTCATTCCCCCCAGGACAAGCCAGGGCCCGTCCCATCCATCTGTCTCACCTAAGCCCTTTCTCAGCTGTTCCTCTTGCGGGTTTTTTTAGTGTGGGTGCTTAATGTGTATTGATCCCTTCCCTTCCCTCTCTGCCCCTCAGACCAGGGGCTTCCCCCGGGGGAGGAGCACTCAACCTGTTCCTATGTGCCGGGGACACAAGCGGTTACACAGAGAGAGGCAGCAGAGCGGGCTCAAGTGCGCACGAGCTGTGTGACCCAGCCTCGGTTTCTCCATCGGGAGTATGGGGGCAACAACTGTACCTGTCTGGTTCCGGCACTAGAAGAACTGTCTACAGGAAGTTAGGGGCTGGAGGTGGAGTTCAGTGGTGGAGTACTTGCCTCACCCAAGCAAGCTGTGGGCTTGACGAACCAACCACGCATACACGCGCGCGCATGCGCGCGCACACAAATACACCCACATGTGCACGTGCGCGCGCCACAGAAACTAGGGCATCTTAATGGCAGCTATGCATTTGTGGGACAATGGGAAGAAGTAGGCACGACAGAGGAAAGACCTGGTCTACATCCCAGTACTGTAACTGCATCTGGCCTTGCCAGTGTATTTGTGTTTGTGACCACACCCCCTTTGGGCGTGGCTTCTGGTGCAGAGAACCCAGGAACGGAAGTGTGGGGCTGGGCTCTGGCTCACGTGCACTCGCCCTCCTCGCTCCCTCTCCCTCCTTCCCTCCCATCCCCTCCCTCCCATCCCTCCCTCCCTCTCTCTCTCTCTCTCTCTCTCTCTCTCTCTCTCTCTCTCTCTCTCTCTCTCTCTCTCTCTCTCTCTCTCTCTCTCTCGTCACAATCAGACAGAAGGGCAGAGAAACACTGCGGTTGTTCTTTACTATTATCTGTGTAAGTTGTTTCCCAATAAACACCCATTTACCATTTATCTTGGATCTAGTGAACCCATTACAACCCCGCCTTCATGTGTCCTCCTTCACCCGGGGTTCCCGGCCTTCGTGTGGCCTCTGAGAAGAGAGCCTGTGGCTTTGAGGGTTCTCAGAGCCCACCTTCAGATGACTGGCTGTTCATAGTGGAGACACGCAGTCTCTCCCCAAGCCCTCACCCTCCCTGGATTCTAGAAGGAGCCTCCTCTGGGTGAATGTCACGTGAGGAGCCTTTCCTTAGCTTGGGGACTGGGGACATGCGCAAGCCAAGTGCCACCTTGTACTCCACGCTCCCATTGGGAGGTCAGGAATCGGAGCAATCCTGCTGCCCAAGTACAGCTCCCTGGGCACAAGATGAGGTTCGCAGCACCTCACAGACCCACAAGAGCAGGGTCCCGCCACTGAAGGAACAATACTAGACTAAGCCTCGAAGTCCATTTGTGGGCATCAGTGCCACTCGATGCGTGACCTTGGCCTCTGACCTCCGAATTCACCCCTCTGGGCTCAGAATGCAGGGCTCGCATCACCCGATTCTCCGGGCCTCTGTGAGAACGGGGTAGCAACTGGACATGGCTGGATCGTCGTGTAATATCGTTTGTAACCACGGGAAGCACACTGCAGTGTTCAGATCCCGGTTCTTGGCAATTGCTCCCCTCCATCTCTACACCACACCATGCCCTCCTCTATGGTTCTGGTCATTCCCAGGCAGTCACCTGCTACCTAGATGCCATGAGTCTGAAACCCACTCTCCCCTAGTCCCGGCCCTCACCCTGGCTCCAAGCCCACATTTTCAACAGTCTCCATTTTGGAGGAACTATTGGGAAGTCTCTTCCATCAGCCGAGAATCTAGCTGTCCCCCATCAGCCCCATCCTCCCCTCTCCTTAGCCTGCCCATCCTGTCTGTAAAATCCAGAGACCCCAGTGCCAGCCTGGAGTTCTCCGCCCCACACCCCAGATCTCCCTCCAGGATTCCTTTCCTGACCTCTCCCCATCTCACAGCCATTGCCCTAACTTGGGTTGTCATTATTGCCCACCCAGCCTTCTGAAAAAGCCTCCTATGGCCATTCCCGCCATCCCCCCTTGGTACAGCTGTGCTGACACTGTAGGGGGTCTCTGGAAGCCACTAGTAGACCCCCTGCTGGAAGTCTATGGGACAAGACCCCTGTCCTTAGGATAAGATGCCTTTTTAGCCCCCACCATCTGACCTCAGCCTCTCTCTTCTTCACTCCCAATGTAACCTCCTTACAGGCATTTATCCTGTTCTCTGGCCTTTGATCAACTGTGTGGGATCTGGTTATGCCCTCATTATTCCCACCTACCCCCACCTCTCTGTCCCCCTACCCAGGGACTCCAGGGGGCTCAGCAGAATGCCACTCTCCTTTAAAACCTTCTCACTGGTGGATGCCCCCCCACCCAAGGCGGATACAGCTGCCCCTCCCCCATTCTCATTCTCTACTTGCAGGGACTCCCTCCCAACTCTCATCCCCCTCCCCCTCCCCCCAGGACATCACTGTCACTCAGGCTCAGATGCCATCTGTTCACCTGTGAGCAGCATTGTCTAAGTCACCCAGGAGGCCGTAAGGCCAGAGTCATGTCTACCCTGTTCCCAACTAGTGCAGGCATGCGTGTTGGGCCAACCGCTTCATGCATGAGCACTCGGTCAAGGGTACAGGAAGGACCTCGGTATGGCCTGTAATTTGCTTATCTGAGCCCTTGCCCAGGCACGGGACTACAACCACCAGGAGAAGAAAGGACGCTGTCTTCTGATCTGCCTCCCACCCCTGGGACCCATGGACCAGCAGAGGTTCTCCTTGCTGCTGTCCCTGTGCTAGGGACTGACTCCCCGCTCCCAAGGTAGGTATGCCAACGCTGTTCCTTGTCTTAGACAAAAGGAATGTCTCAGCACACCTGCCAGCAGGTACTGCCGTGCCCGTCCCGGGAAAGCAGCTGTTTGCAGCTGGACAAGCCCTTGCACTTACCCACTGTGCTGAACACGGTGCAGCAGAAGTAGAGGGCACTCAGGAAGGACCAGTCCGCAGGCGCCTTGAACCACTGCGGATTCATCTGCTGCAGGTGCTTACACAGGGCCTTCCTGTTGCCTTCCACCACTGGGGAGAGACCAGAGTGATGAAAACCGGGGTCTGCCTGTCCAGACAGTCCTGCCCAATGAGAGGACCCGGGTCAGCAGCACCCCCCCCACCTCCATTGTCCCAGCAACACTGCAGCCTGTCCATCAAAGCCCGCAGCTCGGACCCAGGCCAGCAGCACCCCCCCATTGTCCCAACAACACTGCAGCCTGGCCATCAAAGCCTGCAGCTCAGGTCCAGCTGACGGTGCCTACAGAGTCTAAGGGGTTGGGTTGTCCTATGGGGGCCTGGGTGCAACCTGAGCTCAGCAGCCTTGGACGGTTCCTTTTTTCTTCCACAGTCCCAAACTGATTTTTCCCCCTTTTGAGAGAGGACTCAGGCTGATCTCCAATGCTGCGATAACCAAAGATAACCTTGAGTTTCTGATCATTGTAACTCCAACTCCCAAGTGTGGGGATTACAGGCACTGGCCATCGTGGCTGGTTTATGTGGTGCTGGGGATCCAATGCAGGGTTTTGTGCATGCCCGCCAAATACTACTGGCTGAGCTGCAGCCTCAACCCCTTGAAGGAGTTCTTAATGTTTGAACCGTTTCTTTCGTGTTTCGTTTTTTTGTTTTGTTTTGTTTTGTTTTTTGTTGTTGTTTGAATCTTTGGGGTTTTGTTGTTGCTGTTAGTTGTTGAGACAGGGTCTTGCTACATCCCTTTGGTTGGCCTAGAACTTGCTACACAGGATAGCCTGTCTTCAGTTGTACCAATCTTCCCATCTTTGCCTGCTGGGTGCTCAAATTATAGCCATGCACCACCATGCCCAGCCTTCTTTATTCATTTTAAAGAGGAATACAAACCCTCTGCCCCCTCTCTTGTGGGATTCTAAACTGGAAGCAAAGGGCTTTCAGCAAGTCAGACAGTGGTGAGAAGCACGGCGTCAGCTCCTACAAGGCACTGAGCCTTGGTGAGCACCCTGAGCTCCCGGCTTCAGGATGAGGCTGTCTCTTAGGATGGGAAACCTTGGTCCCTGGGCTGAGAGGATGGCACAGAGTCTGGCCACAGGGGAAGGCACCACCCATTTGAATTGAACAGCACCAGCCTGGGACTCCAGACTCTGGCACCTAGACTCTCCCTGACCACTTTTTATAGCTCCAGACAAAAAGCTACTTTCTGAGCCTCAATTCCCCATCTACAAAGCAGTGCAGCCTGGTGGTAAAAAAATCAGACTCGTCAGTGCCCTGAATGGAATTCCTGTCTTGTCTTCCTTGTATGAGAGAACTTTGAAAGTTATGTAACTTTCCAGGGCAAGAGAAAAGAGTCAACAGAAACAGAGAGAATAAAAGATAAATGAGCCTGTGCCCCTCTGCTTGTGGTCCTGCATGGCCTCTGTATGATGCTGTTCCCTGGGTAGGGACATGGTTTGGGAGCAGGTCTTGTCAGTTGGGACTGACTGGAAGCTGGCCCATGGACTCAGAGTCCCCACTCTGTGGAGGAAGTCTTTTTTTGCATCTTTGCCACAGAGACATTTCTACTCAGTGGCCAGGGAGGCGCTGAGGTGATGTTGGTATACTTGGGGCTGTCCTAAGATCCCTGTCTCCAGCAAGTTCAGGTCCCCCCTGAATCAGCCCAGACTTCCGAGTCATCCAGGGAATCTGTCTCAAGTACACATTTACATGCTTTCTCCCAGATCCACACAATCAGGATCTCCAAGGTTGGGCTGGAAGCCTTATTTGTAAAGGGGATCCTGGACAAGGAGCGGAGTGTACAGACACCGAGCACTAGGGAGTCAAGTGCTGAGAAGTGTTAGGCTAATGCCACGATGCATTTTCTTACATTGTCTTTGGACCCCCTCACCTTGTCTCCCCTTTTATAGATTAGAAACCGAAGTCCTGGCATCTGGACTCACACTGACCAAACCAAGGGATGAAACACAAATGAAAGGCAGTAAGGATACTTGTTGAGCACCTTCTGCTTTGCAAAGGTCTGTGTCTCTCATCTCTGCTCTCCCCTTCTCTTCAGGAGACAAACAAGGGCCCGGGTGCTGCCGTAGATCACACAAACTAAGCTAAAACAAACTGGCCTCTGCCTGTGCCAGCCCCTGCCCCTGCCCCTGCCCTCCACAAGCCCACTACAGACTTTGAAATAAGAGTCAGCTTGTTCATCCTGGGGATCCAAGCCCAGGTTAGACGGTTCCTTGAAGTCTCAAAGCTGAAGCTGCAACCATGCATCCTGCCCCTCTCATAAAATCTCCCTGGGGGCTGGGTGGGGCTGGTGGGAGCCTGAAGAACAAGGAAGGGAAAACTGGACCTTAAGAGCCCGGGTTTAGGCCTTACTTCCCTTATTGCATCCCTGGGAGAGCATCTGTTCATCTCCCCCCCCTGCCCAGAGAAGAAAAGAGACCCCGCCAGGACAACCTACTACAAACAGACTTTAAAACAGGAACCAGGAGTGAGGAGGTTACCAGCACACGAACTAGCTGCTCACAGCCAAGGCAGCTGCAACATAGTAACCTCTCAGGCACCTACCTGTCCTGTTACATTCCAGGATGCTGCACAGATCATCCAGGAAGTTCTTCAAGTCAGGGTTCTCCTCCGCCTCTGGGTCAGGGCGGCCCTCGACTGCAGAGAAGAGGGCGGCACCCACCAGTGCATAGGTCACCAGGCAGCAGAGGAAACAGAGGCCGGGAAGAAGCTTGCCCAGGGCCTCATGGCAGCGTCTCTTAGCTTTCCCCAGAACCTCAGGTGGCTCCTCAGCCTCCATCCTCTTGGAACAGCTCAGGGAAGGGCAGGAGGCATGGGTAGAGGAGGCGGGAGCATCTAGCCTGGGCCTGGAGGAGGGAGATGGGAGTGGCCGGAGAATGGCCAGGCTCCAGCCCTAAGTGGATGGTGCGTGAGTTTCCCAGAGGACCCAGGAAGCAGCCGGAACCCATCATGTTCGTCTCATCCAGATAACTGGGATGGCGCCCCTGTTAGTGCCCCAAATTGCTATTGATTCACCTGACCAGCGCCAGAGCTGCTGCCGGGGGCTTTGGAGGACTTCGTGGCAGTGGTTTTTGTTCTGCTTTTGCCATTCTGAAACTGCAGCTTTGCCTTCCGGGTACCAAATCTGATATTCAGTTGTTAGTCAATTGACTGTCCCTTCTGAACGCTGTTTGGACACCTCTTGCCTTGGCATACCTGGAGTGTTGGACAATAGGAATCAGAGTGAATGCAGACGTGGCTCCGCTGTTTCCAAAATGCTGGAACCTGTGTGGGTCTCTCACAGGCCTGGGACGTGCCAAATAGGCCAGGCTGGCTAGTCTGGAAGCCCCAGAGATCAGCCTGTCTCTGCTTCCCCAGTACTGGGATTCTAAGCAGGCACCGCCATGCCCAGCTTTTCTTTTCCTTTAATTGGGGATTAAATTCAGAGCCTCATGCTTACAAGGTTAGCACTTTACCGACTGAGCCGCCTACCCAGTCTAAACTTCCTATTTATTGAGGGTTTTTTTTCCTCCCCTAGAGGTGTTTTGTTGACAAAAGTGTCAATAAAACAAAACTAAGTTCCTGGGCTGCTAAGACCAATACAGTGAGTGCCTCCCTCTGGGCAAATGCAGTGTGGACAGATGAAGAGAAAGTCTACAGCACTACCGCATCCGGAACTGAATCTTTCTACTCCGGGGCTAGCGAGTGTTACTGGTTGAACGCAACTGTCCTCTCAAATTCTCTCTTAGGGAACCCTGTCTTTTGGGCACAGCGGGCCCATTACTGCCTGGAAGTCAGAGCATCTGTGATTACCCCCTTAAGACTTCTGCAAGGCCCCTCCTGTTGTGAAAAGCCTGTGGGGGACCCTGGCAGATTCCACTGCGGGTGACACGCCAGGCAGACAGAGCTGGAGTGAGACGTTTTTATTAGAAAGGGAAGGGAGGGTGAGGGCAAGAAGAGAAAGAGGGGGGCAAAGAGAGAAAGGGAAAGAAGAAGAGAGAGAAGTGGGAGGCAGGAAAATCCTGTCAGCCACTTCAAGAGAACAGGGGGAAAGAGAGCAGAAGTGGGCGGGGTTTTTTTCCTTTTAAAGGGTCCTGCGCAGACGTAGCAGCCATGGAACCCTGGGCTGACCAGGGTACTGCCTGACTATATCCTGCCAGGTGACAGGGGCATGCCAGCCTAACGCCTGAATCCCTATACCTCCCATTTATGAGACTATGTCAGCTGCTGGGGACGGGGACTCTGCTTGGGTGATGCAACTGCGGTGAGATGCCCATGCACCTGTGAGTAACTCCAAGAGACTCAGGGTCACCAAGCTGGACACGAGTATAATTGTTTCTTGGGTGTCCCCACCCTCTCTATCTGGAGTGACTAGAAAGAGATTCCCTCATGGCTCTGCACCCAAGGGCGCTTGCCACCAAGATTGACAACCTGAGTTCAACCCCTCCAAGCCCACACTGCAAAATGAAAACTGATCTCTACAAGTTACCCTCTGACTTCTACATGTGTGCTGTGGTGTGCGCGCCCGAGCGCGCGCGCACACACACACATGAACACACACATACATGCACATACATGCACACACATGCACATACACACGCACACACATACACACACGCAACTCACACACATGAACACATATACATACATGCACACACATACACATATATGCACAAATACCACACACACACACACACACATGCACACACACAATAATAAATAAATCTAATTTTTTAAAAAAAGAAATAGACTCCTGGGGCTAGAGAGAGATGATGGCTCAGCAGCTGAGATCATGGCCGTTCTTCCCGAGCACCTGGGTTCAGTTCCTAGCATCCAACGTGGTGCCTCAAAACTGTCTCACTTCAAGGGATCCAGCAAGGCTTCAGGCCTCCACAGGGGCTATATTATGTGGTGTACGGACTCACGTGCAGGCAAAATACCCACGTTCACAAGATAATAAAAATGTAAGAAGGAAGCACTCTTCAGAGCTTATCAACTCCCAGTATAGTGATTAGCCACCTTCATGGATGGCTGGGAGGAAACGACCTTTTGCCATACATGGGAGCTGTTGTGAGAGGGTCCTGTCAGTAGACTCGATCCTCCCCCATTGGCCTTAGACCTTGAGCTCTAGAACTGAAAGAAAGTAATTCCTGTTATTCATAAAGTACGCACTGTGTGGCTTTTGATCTAGTAACATGAATGGACCAAGACAGGATAATTAATAACGTTCTTCAGAAGACCCTGGCCACTCTATTCTTTTCCAGTTTCTCCTCCAGTCCCCTCCCCTCCCCTGTCCTCTTCCTCCTCCTCCTCCTCCTTCCCCCCTCCTCATATAGACATTCAGGGCCAAGCTGCTCAAGCACAAATAACCCACCAATTCTTTTAAAAATAATGAGAAGCCAATTACACGCCTACATTAAACATGGCATTGATTCCTAAAGATCAAATTGCTGTGTTACAATCAAGTTGTATGGCCAACTCTATATTTGTGTCCTACAGGTTTAATCACTGCAGGGGAGAGTGTGGGAATTGAAGGAAGAAAAGTCTTACTATAAAAGACTTGGTGGGGCGAGGGTGGGAGTGAAAGCCAGACCTCCAAGGCTTGCTTATTTGACCCCCACCTACCCATGTGCGCAGCTTCCAGAGGGAATCTCACTTCTTGTTCAAATTTCTGTTTACGGTTCTTTGGCTCTGCCCTGAGGAGAGGTCATGTGGCCCTGCTACGGGATTAACAAGATAAAGACAGTTCTGGCAAAGACAGACAAAGCAAGGCTGGAGATACAATCCAACCGGCGGAGAGCTTGCCTAGCATGGTTCAAGCTCTGGGTCCTGCTCCCAGGTTTGCGGAAACCTGGCGCCCTGGCACGTGCTCATAATCCCAGCACCTGTAAGGCGGGTGTAAGAACAGGTGTTCATGATCATTAAGTTACCTAGTGAGTTTGAGACCAACCTAGGCTACAGGTGACCCTGTCCCGATTAACAAGTAAATAAATAAAGTTTAAAAGACGGATGCGTCTCCTTCCAGAAAGGAAGATCAAGGCAGTCGTTGACAAGTTTTGTACTCAAACACATAATGGTCTTCAAGTAGATCATCATGCTGGATGGGAAAAGTGGACCAAAATTGCACACACCGGTGTGGTACCTGGGGAGGGAATGATGCAGGACAAGGCTAAGGCTTGAATATGAAATGCCCCCCGTAGGCTTACGTGTTTGAGCACTTGGTCGCTGACTGGTGGCACAGTTTGGAAAGATGGTAGAAGCTATAGGAGGTGTAGCCTTGTGGGAGGAAGCATCTTACTTGAGGCAGGCTTTGAGGTTTGTTTTGTGAGACAGGGTTTCTCTGTATTGTTTTGGAGGCTGTCTTGGAACTCACTCTGTAGACCAGGCTGGCCTCGAACTCAAAGAGATCTGCCTGCCTCTGCCTCCCGAGTGCTGGGATTAAAAGCGTGCGGCACCAACGCCCGGCTTGGGCTTTGAGGTTTTATAGCCTCACCCGGCTTCCTGTTCTGTTTCTGCTTCCTGAGTATGGATGCAAAGTGAACAGCCAGCTTCCTACTCCTGCTGCCATGATGGGTAATAGACTCTGCCAACCTCTCATCAAGGTACTTCATCACAGCAACAGAAAAACAACACACACACACACACACACACACACACACACACACACACACACACACAAGTCTATCAGGGAATGTTCCGTTGTGAGAGAGTCCAAAGCCCAGAGAAACATGGTTGGGAGTGGAAAATATCACTTACTAGGTAGGGTAAGACTCCGAAGCTGGAGCTCTGGTATCCCAGAGTTCTGATGCAAAAGAGCATGGATGTCCCAGCACAAACTGAGAGTGAATTCTCCCTTCCTCTAGGTTAATGCCACCCAGAGTTGTGAGTGAATTCTCCATTCCTACATTCATCCCATCTGGAGCTGCGATGGATTGGATGATATTTGCCCATTTTGGTGAGGATGGCTCTGTTTTATTCAGTCTGAAAATGAAAATATGAATCTCTTCTGGATAGCGCCCCAGTGATCATGAGAATGATATTGCACCAGTTCCCTGAGTACCTCATGGTCCGGGGACATTAACATATAAAATTAACCATCACTGGGCTTGGTGGACAGTCCAGCCTACCAGTGCTAGCCTGGTCTACAGTGCTTGCCTTGTAAGCAGAAAGACCCAAGTTTGATTTCCCAGAGCCCACTTTTTTTTTTTTCAGAAACGTGTAGACTTTATTCGCCCATTCTAGATGTGCTTTTTTTTTTTAATCTCATCCTACTCTGACAGAAGCAGTGCAGTCTAGAAACGGCAACCAGAAGGCCAGAGAGGTGAAGTGATAAACACCAGGGCCTGCCTAAGATGCCCATTATAGTCCTCTTTTAAATTTAAAATAGAGTCAAACCAGGTGGTGGTGGTGTAGGCCTTTAATCCTAGCACTTGGGAGGCATAGGCAATCAGATCTCTGAGTTTATGGCCAGCCTTGTCTACAGAGTTAGTTCCAGAACAGCCAGGGCTACAGAAAAGCAGTAGCAAAGAAAAAAACAGGAAGAAAATAGAGTCTTTTTCCATACAATATATCCTGATTATAGTTTCCCCTTCCTCTACTTCTCTAAGTTTCTCACTGTCTCCTCTCCTCCTCCGGATTCACTCTCTTTCTGTGTCTCTCATTAGAAAAAGAACAGGCTTCTAAGAGATAACAACCAAACAGGACAAAATAAGACATAATAGTAAGAAGCAAAATGTATCAATGTCAAAGCTAGATACAACAACCCAACAGGAGGAAAAGAGCCCCCAAAGCAGGCCCAAG